GTGATTATACAAAAATTTTATTTATTTTTCCAATATAATATGGATTGCCCTCTAAAATATATACAGTGGCTCGCAAACAGTCTGCTTTTTATATGAAAAACTTTTTCTTGTTACTTTTTCCTGATAAAACTTGATGTTTAATTAAACCTAAAACTTTATTTATTTAAAAAATTCTGTACCATAAATATAAATTTGGCTGCGAAGTGAACTCTTCTAGAAACCGAACCCACATTTTTACATATAAAATTAATTTAAAAAAATATATATAATCCCATATAGTAGTTTTTAGTTAATACAATTAATATAGTTTATTATATCCTTTTTTAACCGACTTCAAAAAAGAAGAAGGTTCTCAATTTGTCTTAAGGTGATTACAGCACCCCCTTATAATTTTCGGACAAGGATATCTCAAAAAGCAATTTTTTTAAAAAATTAAAATTTTGGAAAAATATATAAGGCAATAATACCTAGAATACGCATATATTTTAAATTTTTAATTCCTTCCAGTTTCCGAGAAAAAAAATCAAAGGGCTTTAAATTTTAAAATATTATAATGAAAATAATGCATTCCTCAACAGCACTATTCTTAATTTTTTAATATAATCCCTAAATTTAAGCTCTTAATCTCTTGTTAATGATTTTTTAAAATTCGCCGAAATTAGTGGCTGAAACGTCTCGTTAAGTGCTATTTTCTGGTGTAAACTAGTGTAAATCATTGCAGGAAACGAATGATGACTCTTAGTGTACGATGTGATAGTTGCAGACGCGTTACACCAGAAAGCAGCACTTAACGAGGCGTTTTGCCACTAATTTCGGCGAATTTAAAAAAATCAATTACAAGAGATTAAGAGCCTAAATTTGGGGATTCTATTAAGAATACTGCTGTTGAGGAACGCATTTATTTTCATTATGATATTTCAAAATTTAAAGCTTTGATTTTTTTTTTTTGGAAACCGGAAATAATTAAAACTTTAAAATATAAGCATATTCTAGATATTATTGCCTAATTCATTTTTCCAAAATTTTTATTTAAAAAAAAAATTACTTTTTGAGATATGCTTGTCCGAAAATTATAAGGAGGTGCTGTAATCACCTTAATATATTTTTTGTATGTATGTTCAGCGATAATTCTTTAACACGGTCTCCGATTTCAAGGATTCTTTTTTTACTGGAAAGGGGGTACTTTAGGGGTGGTCCCATATTTGGTCAAAATCTAATAATTAGGTCCATGAGAAAATCCTCAAACTCTTCATTTTTTTATGTATGTTTAGCGATTATTCTTTACCACCTTGTCCGATTTCTATCATTCTTTCTTTTGTTAGTAAGAGGATACCTCAGGGGTGGTCCCATATAAATTTGGTTAAGATGTGGTGATGGCATCTGCACGATTTTAAAGTTGGTTTTTTAAAATTACTTTTAATACTTGTTACGTAGATTAAAAAAGTTTAATAATTTGGTGCTTTCTTGATGCGTCGTTTTATGATTTCACTTTGTATATGTTTAGGTACAGATAATTATTATTATTACTTGCAGCTTATTTTAAATCATTAAAATAATATTTTGTTAAACCAAAAAAAGGCAAACAGAAAAGCCATGTCATATACAGTGCAATAATAAAAATTAGATATATAAATATAGTATTATGTACCAACGGACTAAACTTTCACTTTTGATCCCGCCTTTTTGTCGTAAAAGTATTTTTAAAATTTTTACCAGTTACGTCCGTACCGGGTTTGAACTGAATATTTTTGAAGAAAAATAAGATACGCCACTGCTTTTTCTAAAAACCAAAATTATCTTTAAAATCCTTATTTATTTTGGAGCAAATTTGTTTTATAGAAGTACTTTGGTACGACGCAATCTTTTCCCGTAAGAAAATAAAAACAAAAATTTTTTTTTGGAGTTTATTGAAACTGCTTTTGATATTTTGTTGTATCGGCACTCATTTAATAAATACCCTGTATTAATTGATATTACCTTATACGAAACAATCGTCTATTTTTTCGTTATTTGTATATTGGTTTTATTTGGCCCATCTTTCACAACTCTATGCTTCTAAATGTAATTTAATCTAACTAAAGTTATTCACTAAATTTAAATATAAAAATAATGTAAAACCGTCTAATAAATCAAACTGCGTTATAACAATATCTCACAATGCAGCAAGAAAAACAAATAATAATAATAATAATAATAATAATAATAATAATAATAATAATAATAATAATAATAATAATAATAATAATAATAATAATAATACTCTCCCTAATTCACCCCCTTACGAGTGAATTTTAACCCCAAAAGCTGAGCTTGTCCGGGGAAAGGGACGGTTATTATTATTTGCCGTGGCGCTCCGGGGCGACTTAAAGATGATTGATGGTGCCATTTGACTTACAGGTGAGGAAAACCCGGAAAACCTCACCCACCATCATCGAGACGGTAATGTATGGCGAATTTTTTTAATCTGCATGTCATATCAACAGAAATTGAATTTCTATTAACACGCCACACATCAAATCCTAAACCTAACCATGCAATTTAATTAAAAATCCACATAGTCTGGTCTGGGATTCGAAACCCAGCAGTCTCAGACTCATAAACTTGCCTATAAATGAATATAAGCGCTAGACCGCTACACCACCGTGCCCGAAATACGATTCTAGTTTCCCTAATTTAGGTAACTCTGACTCACTCAATAACTAATGAACGTCGGCAGCGTGGTAGGATTTTTCGGTTCCTTTGCCTTAACTTCGCGCGTTAGAGTTTAGAATATGTATCTCTCGTATCTACATGCAATTGTTAAAATTATGAATGAATGCGGATTTTGTTTAGTCTCGGAAGTAAGTTTGTAGTATTTAGGCTCCACCCTCAAGTTGTAATTTTTGTACCTACTAAACTACCATTGCCCCGCAGCTCTTTCAGTTTGTAATGTAAATTTTCCTCTTAAAATAATCGTAAATATTTCTTCATTTGGAGCATTTATTAAAAAAAAAAACTATCTGTTTCAGATAAGTGCATTTAAAGGAATTTGTGAAAATTAAGCGATTTGCATTTATATTTGATGAAATAATGTTCAAAAATTAATTATTTGTTTGTTTAAGAATCAATGTTTGAGTTTTGTGTATTTTAAATAAACATGTATATTTATAAATGTCTTTTTTTTAGTCTAATAATATTTTAGAGAAAGATTTCAAATTTATTTCAGAAATATTACTGTGAAATATTATATTTAGGGGATATTTTTACGTTTCAGGCACATTTCAGAAATGTTTCTGGGATGTTTCGTGATATTAATACAACATTACAAATGTTTCAATGTAATATTTTTGAAATATTTCTGAAATGTGTTTGTGCTGTATGTGACTACCAATTCTTTAAACATTAAATTATTAGATAAGTCACGAATTTGGAAAATTTTGTCAATTAATATTTAATTATTTACCTTTCCATTTAACTCTGACTGCCACTGATTATCAATTTCTTGCATAAGTTCAATGTTTTCCGCCTTTTCGGCATTTACAATAGGGAACCCTATGTAGTCGGGGATTGCCCGCTCCGTGAAGTAAGAGACCTTTTCCAAGAACGGTAATATTTATGTGGATGGTACTTTGATTTTTATTATAGCTTCTTTTAATTGCCAAGAGGTGTCAGCACTGAATAAATAAAATAAAATAATTTTAATTTTGTCCTTTATTTTGTTCGTGAAAGTTAATGTGGACATAACTTTGTTAGTTTTTAACAGATATAGTTCTTGACGGTACGTACTTTTTTATTAAAATATTTAGTTATGATTTTATAAAATGAAATTATATTACTTTGGCCGGGTTTTTTAAAGAAATGTCAGAAATTTTCGTTAGGTATGTTAGGAAATTGTATTTTTAAATATGGTAACCCTACCTAGAGCACAACTGCTTTTCACTAAAACCAACAACACTTTAAACCAAATATGGCAAATTATACCGGGTGTTCGAATTAAAGTGTTACAGCTAAATACCGTCTTTTATAAATAAAACGTTTCAGACGAAAGTTTTATAGTTTTGTGGGGAAAAAAATTTGGCTAAAATCGTTTTTTATAGCTAACCATAATATGGACAACTTTTTTTTCGCCTAGCAAAATTTTCAAGTAGCTGTTACTCAAAAAGCAAAAGTCCAATAAAAAAAATATTTCCCTCAAAAGTTTCTTATTTTTTTTTATGTACTTTAAGAATATGTAAACAAAAAATGGGGTTCCAATTAAAAAAAAAAAAACAAATTCCACCTCGATATGGCCTTATTATGGTCAACTATAAAAAATTATTTTAGTCAAAATGTTTCCCCCAGAAAACTATAAAACTTTTGTCTGAAACTTTTTTTCTAAAATGCATTTTTTTGGCAGAATTTAACTGTAAAACTTTAATTTGAACACCCGGTATAACTCTTACAGCACTGATATCTGTCCTTGAATATTTAAAATAAACTTTTCCTTGTTTAAAAAGTATAACATCCAATATACGTATTACTTAACTACACAAATCAACAGTATTTGTTTGTTCTATCGTCCTATATTAAAATAGAAATATTTAATATATATGTTATTGTAAAATATTGCTCTTTATAAACATAATGTATGTTTCTGAAATAAATAAATAAATAAATAAATAAATACATAAATAAATATCACAAAAATCATTTAAATAAAAATGTTTGAATGCGGATCTGTCTATGCGATATACTTGCAATGTGTGACCAAGTCTTTTTTGTGTACTTTTTTCTGAGCCAATTTCATTATTGACCAGAGTTCTGTAAAATGAAAGACATATTTATCGATCTAAAAAATACACTTTCAGAAATTTCGGTGATATCCTATTTTTATATGGAAGCTGAAACAATAATGGTTTTTAAATTGAATAATTAATCAAAATCTGACCTGTGGTTTTATCAAGATTTATCAAGAAAAGGGGAAGACCCACAGTTACCAGTTAAATTTATGTATAAACTCTCATTACTTTCATTTAGATCTTCAGTTACTATTTTACCATTATTTAAAGTTATTAAGTAAGAAGAAAAATAATAAAATGAATTTTTTTATTTTTGTTATCATTAGTTTCGTTGCCTACTCAACAGCTTCACCAATAGATCTTGCTTTCGAAGAAGAAGAAAAATTAAGAGACCCAAGGTGAGATAATTTAAGTTATACTATAGAAGATACATCAAAAAATGGTTGACTCATTTTAGTTGCAATCAAAAATATAAAATTTCATTGCATAACAATATTTTTTGTTTTAGCCGAACAAAATGGGGCCTTAATCAAGCGGGCTATGGAGCCAGCCACACGGGCAACATCTACGATAACGGGAAGAACGTGTTAGATGGCACCGTCAGCGCGTCCAAAGCGTGGAATTCACATGGGCTCAAACCCGATGTAGTTGGTGGCCGATTGGACTTTAAAAACAAACAGACCGGATCGGCAGCGTTCCTAGGAGCTGACAGAACGAGAGGTTCGGGAACAGACGTCAACGCTGGAGTTAAATATAATTTCGTGCAGGAGAAAAATTTAAATGTGGATGTAACTGGACAGTACGAAAGGCATTTCGGTGGTCCTGGTGGTACTGGAAAAGCCGATGCTGGAGTATTTTTGAATGTTAACGGGCGTATCTGATTTTTCTTAAATTGTTTAAACAAAGACTGATTTTTTGTAATAAAAGTTGATTCGTATATACTATTTGTTTTTAAAGGTTTTATTATAACTGAATTAGCTATAATAATAAAAAAAATTATTTATAGAAGTAAATATAGATAAATCAAAAAATATAATAAAATAAAAAATTAAGTACTAATCTACTTGTGTCGAAATAGACAATATACAATAAATGGTTAACAATAAAAATACAAAAAACATATATACAATATAATATAATAGTTCAATAAAAATACAATAAAAATACGATAAAAATATAATAAAAATATAATAAAAATACAATGAAAATACAATGAAAATACAATGAAAATATAAAAATACAATAAATATACAATAAAAATACAATAAAAACAAATTGCTTCTGCACGACGTTGCGTGATTGACTGCTCTGGTACAGCCGACGTTTCACGCAAGCGGACTCCGTTAAATGCTGCGTAATTTTTTTTCGGTGCAGTAGCGTTCAGGTAAAGCCTCAAATTATATCCGTTTTTACATCTTTTTACATCTTGACGGTTCTACTACTTACTTTGGATGTTTACGATTTAGAACAGAAGTAAAAGTTGGAAATGCTTTTGCCAGTTCTCCCACTTTATACACATAAATTGACAGGTTGGCAGCGGAACTCACCGAAGTGGACGCGGTACATTGGCGTACAAAATTATTTTATTGATGTTAATAACAATTTCTAGTAAATAGTTTAATAAATTGTGAATAGCTGTTGGCCGATAATAACATACACAGCTTTGGTGTGGTGGCCAAAGACACAGCAAAGGAAAGCAATAACGAGGCTAAGCAAGGAACAAAGACTTGCCTGCCTCGGAATAACAGGGGCAATGAAAACAACCCCCACTGCTGCAATGAAAGCACTAATAGGACCCCACCTCTTCACTATGTGATACAAGGGGAGGCAAGATTAGGTGCTTACAGATTAGGGAATACATTGGGAAATCTTGACAATAGGCCAGGTCACATGAGTATCTCAAGGTTAGTGACAGGAGACGTGCTACACATGAGATCAGACCACATAACCAAGAGGTACTCTTTTAATACTCCATTTGAGGTTTTAATACATGAAAGAGCGGAGATCACCATAAGGGAGCCCAATGCCCAACGACAAGAACAAACCTGGTATAAAGACGGGTCTAAGACTGCGGAAGGCACTGGGGCGGGAGTATTCTCCAAAAACCCTGATACTTACCATAGCTATGCTATAGGAATATATTCCGAGGTATTTCAGGCCGAGGTATACGCAATTTTGCAATGTGCAAAAACAAACAATAAAAGAGCTGTCGAAAATCAGCATATTCAAATAATGTCAGACAGCCAAGCGGCACTTAACACCATATCGAGTCAGAAAGTTACGTCGAGGCTGGTATGGGAATGCATCGAAGAACTAGGAACACTGGCAGACCGAAATAGAGTAAAACTATTTTGGGTGCCAGGTCACCAAGGGATCGAAGGCAACGAAAAGGCTGACGAACTTGCAAAAAGAGGGTCAGAAGAAACACCGGAACCAGACACGAACCCAGGAGTACCAAAAAGTACAGTCCGGGGTTTCATAAACGACTGGATTCGAGAACAACATATCAACTATTGGGGAAGCGTCCCAAAACAGGCACATGGAAAAGCCTTCATAGGCAGACCATGTCCCAAGAGAACTGGAGAACTACTTTTTATGAATAGGAACCAGTTGAAAGTGATAACAGGATTCATGAATGGGCACGCCCCAGTAAAGGGACACTTGAACAAAATTGGCATGTACAATGGGGAACTCATGTGCTGACTATGTCACAAGAAACCTGAAACGACCAAACACATACTTTGCGAATGCAAAGCTCTAGATCGCAAAAGATAGGCTCTTTTTGGACAACCCCAGGTTGATCCAACAACGTATAGAACCCACTCACCCAAGGATCTGTACAAACTTGTACAAGGTAAAAAAGTGATCGAGTGGGTGCTATGAACTAACATGGGGGTAAAACACAATAAGCCAATAGGCTTCAGTGTTATTCGGAGACATAGTCAGGCGAGCCCAGAAGAAAAAAACCTGGGAGCTAAACTATACTATGTCGACACAGTGCAGTTTTATAAATGGTATATTTTTAAAATCAGCCCATCAACACCTTTATAGGGGTATACCATACATGTATTAGTGATATCACAATAAAAGTTGACCAAATAAAAGTATAACACTATGGTTCAAAAAATTTGCGAGTTAAACAATTCCATGTGCACATAATGTTTTTAACTCTCACGTTAGTCATATTATTTATAGAAGCATGTTGTAAGTATATGACACTGGAAAATTTGTTGTCATAACCTAGAAATATGTAACAAAAACCAAAAATTTATGTATATTAAAAAAAGTTTCATTAGTTAGATTATTATGACAATAATTGCGAGAGCGAGTGAGAAAGGTTTATTATTAATTAGATTAATTATTATTTGTTCTATATTTCTCTTTCTTTTAAGCAATAAAAAGTACTCATTGCTAGTTCAAGAACTAGATATATTTTTTGTTTGTTAAAACTATCTTGTTTTGAAATACTGACAAATTTTGTAGATATTTATTCATGTTTTGAGTTGGGAATATTTATTCAATAATATCATCATCTCGAATGTCTAAATCTGTTCTGTAAACACCATCCACCCCAATTATTATAATAGCTTAGAACAAAATATTAATAAAATGTACCTTTTGATAGATTTCTTCTATTACAAAAACACGTGATATTTGGGTTTATAGCGACTGTTTTTCTGTCTTTAGGAAGTCTAAAAACTGAAATATCAATGTTTTCCCACAATGTTGAAACTTTGAGCAGTCAAATTTTTCTTAGAATTATGTCAAAAAAACCATTTTTCTTTTCTCACACAGTATTTTTAATTGAGTATATGTATTCATGTATTCAGGCGGGGTACACAGTACACACTTGCATATCTCTAAAGTATTGTCACTAAAAGTGTCATCCAGTTTTTAATTTTATTTTTTCGTTTTATCTAGAACGTTTCCTGGAAAATGACATATTGAATTCTATTTCTTTTATTTTATTAGTTTCACAGATGAAGTACCAGGCTACTTGATAATTAACAATATGTAAAAAATGAGTGGGATGATTTATACCAAAAATCTAATGAAATCAAGTATTAAATATGTTAATATTTATATCAGCGTTATTAGTAAAAAAATATATATCTAATATCAAAATCTAATTAAATCAAATATGATAATATTAATATCATTGTTAATAGTAAAAAACTTGTATACTCAAGATATAAAAGTGGTTTGTAAATAATAATAAATACACTTCTCAACCTAGGTATATAACTACTAAAACTCGTATCAAATATAGATAAGATTGATTATTGTTTACTTTTACTTTCATTTTTAAATTAGAGGTCACATTCGTAACTATTTATTTTGTGTAATCGCTTTTAATAAATAAAATATAAACTGGTGAAAGTGGGTATTCCCGAAATACCACAATTTTTTTATAGATTTTGGGTGGTTCTTTACAGTTTCCTTAACATACAATTAACAAGGCGATATGTAACACTTTTTGATTAAAGAAAAAATGTAAATTACTCAAGGGAATCACAATATTTAAAAGTATAAATACTGAGTGGCCCATATTGTATGGAATAAATAAATTTTTAGCGTTATTATGTAATTTTGGGACAAAACCGGTGTTGTTAATTTGACAATAATTTATAGTACGAAAATATGAACACCTCTCAAAAATTTTATTTAAGAAAGAAGATCATGTGGCACCTAGTTTGAAAGGAATTTTAATTATCTTCTTAACAATATGTTTTTTAAATTTGATGCAATTATAATTGAGAAAATTAATTTCTCCTCCTGATACTTAGTTCCTGCGGTCTGCTGTTTATCTCCTTCTCTACCCTAGTAATGCCACTCTTCTTACTCTTTCAAAATAATAAAATTCTTTCTGCTTTACCTTTTTTTATTCTATTTTTATCCATTTATTATTTCTTCCAACAAATTACAACTCCTCAATATTTGATCATTTCTAACAAAAAAAAATCTTCCTTTCTTATTTCGTCCACCATTTTTTTACTTCCTCAAAAATTCAATCAGCACCTTCTCTTTTTCACTTATAATAATTTATTATTCCTAAAAATCCTTGTTGGTTTCTTATACAATATACTTTTCACTCTTTTCTCATCTATCTGCATTCCTCTTTCATTTATCTTATATCCTAAAAATATGATTTTCTTTTAAAATAATTGACATTTTGCAATATTTATCATCAAACCAGCTGCATCTAATTCTCTCAACACAGTTTCCATATTCTCTAAATTTTTTTTTTTTTCTATTCAAATTATCATCCATATACAAATTCTTCATATTTATTCAGAACTCCATCTCTAAAGCTGCCCAGGCACTTTTTAAACCAAACGGTACCACACAAAACCTATGCCCTACTCCATCTATTTAAAATACTGTATAATCTCTACTTTTAATATTTAACTGTGCTTCAAATTAATTTCCAAAAATTGCATTTTTATTCATTGGCGATTCATATTGTGGCACTGAATACTTGTTCATATTTCTTGCATCCAAACACAACCTTAATTCACCCTTTAACGATTTTACAATCACTATATTACTTAACGTGTGATATTTCTTTCAATGATCACTCATCTAACATTTAATTTATCCCTTTCGATCCAAATATGGATATATTTAATTCTAAAATTCTCTATTCCTTTTACTTCTTTCTTATGCACATAATTATCTGTCACTCTCATTTCTAATCAGTTATATTGTAAACGCCAAATCTAAAGAACCAGCGCAAATGCGCAAGTTCGTTTACTTAAAAATCGCCACGCCCATTCTCAATTTGAACTTTGTCCTTGCTTACGGTCAGTAGCGTAACGACTAGATCATTGCTTGTTTCTTGTTTCTGTGTTTTGGTTAAAGTGACTGGTTCTATTTTTGATAATTGTGGGTGAAAAAAAGCGCAGATCTGTTATTAACGGACAAATTCGTGAAGTAATATACAATGTTTTTAAATATT